CTTTAAGGCAAATCAACACTGATCAAAATCACTAGATACACATTAAATTTAAGGTGTGAAATCAGATTTTGACAAGCATAACATCCATACATAGAATATGAATACTTTTTTCAGCTCAGTAACAACTAAGCTCAACTTAAATCAAGAACTGAAAGAAGAAAAATGTCTTCCTTTTCCAAGCTAGGAAAAAAAAAAAGTTTTATATAAACAATCACCTAAAGCAACCAATTATGACACAAAGGGTCACCAGAAAATACTCAAATATATCTTTTAAACAGATCAATTTTATATATAATATGCCAACAGTAGATCACAAAACAGCATCTTCAATTTTAATGCAAGACTTCAAATGCATACAAATGCCACATAAATTTAATTTCAATATATAATCACAAAATTACACAAGTGTAATTTATGTTAGATGTAATTACTACATATATATATATATATATATATATATATATATATATGTATCTATGAGGAAGAACACGTATTAAAAAAATAATCTAACAAGAATTAAATCATCAGGTTAGCCTGAAACTGCTTGGATGCTCTGTGCTGGACTAGATGCTGACCACCTGAATTAATGTCTGCATGATGAAAACAAACCAGGCAGGTCCAAGAGTTCCCACTGCTGATTGCAACGAGGTGATTTGTTCTTGTAAAGCTGCCAAGACAGTCACTGAAAGCAGCTCCAAGACCAATCTCATTTAAGAAGCACATTCAATCCTGGGATTGATTTTATGATTTCATTTTTTTCTCCTCCCTACCCCATTTGAAAATTAAAACCTTATAAAATAATTTCAATGTTAACATTACTCAGCTCTTTTAGTGTTTCAAAACACTGGGATTCACAATGACTCTAACATTTGGCTTAAACTGAAAATCCATATGATTAATATTTGTCTGAGATCTAACATAAGAAGGAGGGGGAAAATAGCTCCTGCAAATTGTCAAATCTGGTTTGCCCCAAAGAACTAATTTTATGTAATAGGTGGCACTTGAGAGTGATTTTTGCTCTACAATACAATCAGGCACTTCCATCTTTCCCCTTCTTTCCAGTTTAAGCCCTTTTGGAAGGCAAGAAATGGCAAGAGTTACAGTCACTGAATCAAAATCTGGCTTAGTGCTTGTCAGCATTTCACGAACTTTTAGAAGCCCTTAAAGGAAACGAAACCATCTTCAGTGAACTGCAGAAGTATCTGCCAGCCAATGTCCATCTGCAGCTGTGTTAATTGTGGCTTTCACAAACCCTGAGCCCAGCTCTCTCTGGCAGGGATCTGTCTGCACACCCAGGGCACTGGTGGCATCCGAGCTGACATCCACTCAGAGCATTCACCAGTTCCCCTCCTGCTCTTCTGTTTCTCTTGTTCAAACACTGAAGACACGACCCCACGGCTGAGCAGTGCCATCCTTTTAATTAGAGCTGCAGCTCAGTGCAGCCCTGGCACCTGATATCCAGAAATCTCCATGAAGCCCTCTGCACCAGGATCAAGAGAACAGCACACACTCTGTGTTTTTAGGAGCATTTGCTGTAGCTCTGTTTCAGATCTTTCATATAAATTCTGTTACAAAACTCTGGGTTGCAAAACACAGAAGTTTCATACAAGAACAAAACAATAACAACTAAATTTAATTACACACTTCCGAAGATGAAGTAAGTGACAGGTTTGCATCCAACTAGAAAAGAGAAAAATTTTGGTGGAATTTAGAAAATGTTTTCTTGATTAGCAATACTATGAGTACTTTCTAAACTGCCGGCTCCAGGCACTTGGGAGCTGCATTAATCTGAGCATTGATATTTCCAAACATTGTTATGTACAAAACACAATCCTGCATTATCACTGTCCCAAAGTATTTACCTTCTAGGAGCATGCACTGCACGTCAAGCTCAGAGATTCTGAATTTCTTACTAGTTTGATAAGACATTTCAAAGTCACTTCTGAGATATAAAAAAATATAAATGACTGCCTTCAGCAACACAACAGTCATAAAGTAAAGACTGTCAGAAAAGAAGAGTAACTGAAGAAGATCACTTCTCTAGATACTGTGGGGATTTTTTTATTTGTATTTCTTATTCACCTTCAAAATCTTATATACATAATTTTTGTGCCATTTTAAAAATTCCATAATGGTCCAGGAGAGAACTACACAGTTCTGTATTCAAAACTATTTTTGCAAGGTTTTCTAGTGAGGCTTTTGATGCCTGTATTTTTCTTTAGAATCTTGAAAATTAAAATACTTGGAAAAATTAAACACAAGATGCATTAGTCCTCAACTAAGCAACACGGAAATACAGTTGAAACTTCCATTATGTAACACACGTAATTTGCAGCCAACAAATTTTTAAGATTTAAATGACCTGAGCAGTTAACCAAGACCAACTTTCCAAGCACTCAGGAAAGGGCTAAAGTAGAGATAGAGCAGCAGCTATTTGCTGTAGCACTTTAATACTACAGAAGAGAAAAAAAGACACATCTGTAACCTGAAACTCACTTTTTTCATGATTACAGGTGAAAGGTATATACTATATGCTATGAAGCCTTCGTTCTCAGCCTGTTAAATCTGTATAACCCATCTACATTGTCCACCGTGAAAACTGCTCGTTTTAGAGAAATAGTAATTCAAAATATAGTTTGCCAGAGCAGACACACAGCGAGACATATCCATACACTTACAATCTCCCTCATTTCCCTAGCCCCCTCCTTCCAAGATAACATCAGTCTGTTCTTTGGAAGCACAAATTAACTTCACCACAGCTATCGTGCTTAAAAATCACAAACAAACACTGCAAAAACCCACTGAAGATTCCCATCCCATTAAGAGACTTTCAGGACTGTGTGTGCTTGTCATGTGGTTTGTTTCATCTTAATTTGTTGATATAGTTATTATTCCTTTAGCACAGCTTCAGACTTCCCCCAGCTCTAACCAGCAACTGCATCTCCTGCAGCTGACACTTCACTGCCAGGTTAGTGACCGTCTTTGACATCACTTCCCATATTTCTAACACAAGTCAGGAAGCAGCTTCAGGTTTTCCTCTGAACACTCCCATGACTTTGCAGACTCATGTCCCTGCTATTCCTACAGAACAGTTTTCATCTCTCCCCGTGCTTTCACAGCGGGTTTTACAGGCTGGTACCTGTCTCCTCTCACTGCACCATTTTGCCATTCCTTCCCCTTCCTTCTCCAGGACTCTCCACCCAGCAGAGGAGCATCTACTCCTCTGTTGCTTCAGAATATGATTATACCTAATTAAATTAAGCACTTTTTTCCTCAGCTCATACTTAGATTTGAGACTTACCCTGCTTCTATTTCAGAACTGAAAACCATCCTGGAAAATCATGTACTTTCCAAACTACAATAACCAGCCTAACAAAAGACAACATTCTCAACTGTATAATTAACAGGAGGGAATGGATCAGAGGCTTATTTTGCATTAGTTCAGATAATATTACAGCATAAAGTAGTCTACCACATCTATAGCTGGTAGCAATTTGGATGCTTTTCACAATTTCCAAAAGAAATCAAACTAAAAATTAAAGAAGATGATAGTCTCAGCAACAAGTGCAAAATTTAAAAAGCAGATTCAAAATAAATCTGGATGGGGAAACGAGCAACACCTACGAAGTATGACACGAAAAGCACCTAATGACTTTGCACTTTTCCTAAAGATGGGGAACACTTTCCAATTCACCTTTGCCACATCAGTCACGCAAGGCATGCAAGTCACAGCCCCTCGCCACAAAGCCGATTTATAGAATGCCGAGTTGGGCTGCTCTAGCCAGGTACAGACCCGAGAGCGGAGCTTCCCGAGCCGCTCCCGAAGCCCGGGAGCCGCCGGTCGCCGCCCGCAGCACACACGGGACCAGCGGCGGTCCAGCCGATGCTGCCGGGCTGGCGGATCGCTCCGCACGCCCCGTGCCCCGGCCGGCAGCCGGCACTGCCCGGCCGGGCTGTCCGCGACCCGCAGCAGCTCCTCCCCGGTGTGTGCCATCCCGCACCCCGCGGTGTCACCCCGCGGCGCCGAGCCGGACCCGGCGGCACCGGGGGTCGCGGCCCTGCCCCGCCCGCCGCTCACCTCCCAGCCCGGGGTACCGAGCCGCTCCCTCCCTTCCGCACCCGTCCCCGGCACCGCCTCGGGGACCCCCGCGGCCCCTCCCTTCCCCGCGGGCCCGGGCGGGACGGCACCGGGTGATGCCGCCCGCCCGTCCCGCCGCTCCCCGACCCCTGTCCCGGGGCTCGCCCTGCCGGGGCTTCACCTGCGGGGGTCTCACGGCGCTGGGGCCGCTGCCGGCGGCGCCGCCCTCCCGCCCCCCGGCGCTGCGGTGGTGCCGCCCATGCCCCCCCCGGCGCCGCGGATGGAGCCGCCCAGGGGCGGGGCGGGCGCGGCGCTCCCGGGCGGCCCCGCGGGGGCAGCGCCGGACGCGGCACCGGGACCTCCCCGGGACCTCCCCGGGACCGGCGAGCCCCAGCCCGCCCCGCCGGGGCCGAGCCCGTCCCCGGGCTCCGCGGCCCGAGCGGGAAGCGCACTGGAGCCTCCCGCCCGCCCGCAGCCCCGCGGGAGCGGCCGGCGCTGCCGCCGCGCCGGGAAGCGCGGCCGCGGCCCCACGCGGCCCCGCCCGGCCGAGGCTCCCAGGCGCGGCGAGCGGAGCCGCGGGGGAAACCGGGCACCGCCCTGGGGCGGCCGCGCGGAGCCGCGGGGCACGGGCAGAGCCGTCCGGGGGGCAGAGCCCGGCCACGGGGACATCCCCCGGGCGGAGGTACCTGCGGTGTCCGGGCGGCCGCGGAGCGCGGTGTCACCGAGCCGCCGCCATGGCGCTGCTGGGGCGGGAGCGGCTCCGCCCCGCCCGCATGGACCGGACAACGTGACGGGCCGTTGCCATGGCAGCGCCGCGTGACGTCAGAGCGCGCGCGGCGCCACGCCCCCTGCGGGCGGCGCTTCTGTCGCCGCGCGTGTGGCGGCGCGAGGGAGCGCGCGCGGGGCGGGACCGTGAGGGGGACGCCGTGAGGGACCGGACACGGGGCGGGGACCGTGAGGGGGACGCCGTGAGGGACCGGACACGGGGCAGGGACCGTGAGGGGGACACCGTGAGGGACCCGACACGGGGCAGGGACCGTGAGGGGGACGCCGTGAGGGACCCGACACGGGGCAGGGACCGTGAGGGGGACGCCGTGAGGGACCCGACACGGGGCAGGGGGACACGGGGGCCTGGGGAATACGGACAGCGGGAATGGGGGCTCTGTGGGTGACAGGCCTGAGTGGTGGTGGGACCCCAGAGCATGGGGACCCAAAGGATGGGGTCACTAGGGAGTGGAGAGCTGATGTGGGGACCCAGAGGTTGCACCTGAGTGGGGAATGGGGCTTGGGGGACATCAGTGACAGGGCGGTGGGGGTCCAGGCAACAAAACAAGGGTGGTGGGGACCTGTGGAGAGAGGGGGTGGGTGACACGCCTATCCCTCGCAGCCCCCCAAATCACCAGATATATGGGGGTCTTGAGGGAAGGCAGGTCAGGTGTTGGGCAAAGATTCCCAACAGAGGCTTCCATTCCCCTGATGTGGTTAAGCTGTTTGTTCGGTGAGATGAAGGGGGAAGAGAGAGAAGCAGGAAGGGACAGAGCCTTATCCAGGGAGGGACCTGGCGGCTCAGCCTGCAGAAAAGGAGGCTCAGGGGGGACCTTACTGCTCTCCACAAGGTCTGACAGGAGGGTGCAGCTGGCTGGGTCAGGCTCTGCTCCCAGGGAACCAGCCACACGACAAGAGGACACAGCCTCAAGCTATGGGATGTTTAGTTTGGACATTCCTTCCATTAGAAGGAATTTCTTCAAAGAAAGGGATTGAAGGTGGTGGTGGGGTCACTGTCCCTGGAGGTGTTTAAGAAAAGACTGGTCATGGCACTCAGTGGTGTTCAGTCAGAGGCTGAAGTTAATATCTCAGAGGTCTTTTCCAGCCTAAGTGATTGTGTGATCAATTAAAGCCCTATGTCCCCCTCAGCACGCAGCAGGGAGTGGTGTTTCTCTTTGGTTAGCAGCAAGGACTGCCTCCACTGAACTTGGCAGGTCAGTAATGTGGGGAAATAAAAGTGAAGTGTTGAATGGGCACTCAGATCCCGTGTGTCCCTCACAAAGCTGCAATCCCACATCCCAGAATGGGGCAGCCCTCCTCACACCAGCATGTGGGAGACAGACAGACCTCAGGGGCTGGCTGCCAGGGGTCTGTCAGTCGTGTTGCTCCTGTCTGACCATTCCATGGCTGATGCTCCTGCTGCATCAAATTGCCAAACTACAACCACAGCCAGCCAGAGGCCTGGAAAGATGTGGGATGGCTGCTCTGGGGATGCTGTGGCCACAGCTCTGAGTCTCCTGCTCCACTGACCCTGATGGGACACGTGTGCAGAAGTCACAGCCCTAAGGCAGCCCTGCTCAGCCCTCCAGCACCAGCCATGGCATACTTGCACCTTCCATCTTCTCAGCACGGCTCTGCCACACCCTCAGCAACGCAAACTGTCAAAGTTTTGCAAAATATTTTCCATGAGTACCAAAAGCTCTGTGAGTAAAGCAATCTTTGAGCTGTTGGTGTGTCACTGATACATGGCTCAGTATTAATGACAGCACGTGCTGGAACATACAGTACATACTGCAATGAAACAGCTCGTTGCTTACCCTAAATCAGCCTTACAAAACATGCACATTCCCTAAGTGACTCAAGCCTGTGATTTTAATAGCTCTGTCCTGGTTGCAAAGTCTGTGTTGTGCTTCCCTGTGCTGCAGTACATCTGTCTTCCATTTATCCAAAGGACAGATGCCATTCAGCACTGTGTTTACTTTGCATTTAATGAGTGATCACACAGCAAAAATCAACAAGGAACATGTTTGATTTTGTTGGACCATATTTGAGGAAAATACACTTGTCTCAGAGTCACTGTATCACCATGTAAGTAACTTAAAATTTTATAGAGGGGAGAAACTGATGCAAGGATAGTTCTCCCTTAAAAAATGCTTGTTCCCTTACATTCTTCCTAATACAATCTTCAGAACCCTGAGGGGCGATTACTGACAAGATACCATCCCAAAATGAGCACACCATTTCTTGTCTTCTGTTTTCAAACAATTCTGGAAAACAACAGCAAGGAGAGCCCTAGAGAAGTTCAGATGGTATTTGGGTACTTACATATTATTCAATTATCAGGTTTCGTCCTTCCAGTGCTAACTAAACATTTAAAATTACATAATCTATTCTTATGACTCATTTGGGAGACAGGGAAGATTCTTCAGTTGCAGGCAGTGAAAATGAAGCACACAGGACAGGGTTCCCCATTGATGTGGCTGTGGTGGTCCAAAGCAAAAAGGAATATCCCGTCTTGGACCAACCAGTACAAATAACAGCAACTGCCCCTTCTTATAAAACTCATCTCACCCACTGGGTAGTCACTTTAGTCATTTATTAGATGAAGTTACAAATTCCTAATGAAATAGGAATCCTCAATTCTCCTGCTGGCAGTGTTTTACCACCAGCTTTTATCCAGTTCAGCTTCTGATCACTGGTTTCATATGCCAAACCCCACTCTGCAAAATCAGAGCTACCCCTAATGGAGCCATTCTTATGCCAGTTCTGCAATATGCTTTGTATTATTTTAAAATTTATATAAGGCATCAATTTGTTCTGCAGTGAAAGAGAAATCTTGGGACACAGTGCCAGATTAGTTTTTAAAATCAATATCCAGATCAGTTTCTCTAACATGTTTCTTTTGAATTATGAGCTACTACAGCCAACACAGCAACTTTGGTTTCTGATAGATTAAATGCTACTGGAGGCCTGTGGTGCTTGGATTCCTGCCCGGTGGGTCTGAAACACCTCGGAAGGGACGGCAGAGGAAGGGAACCTGTTTGGAGATTGTGCTGATTCAGCTGTAACTGAAAACCTCAGCCAGGGCAGCTCCAGCAGAGCCCCAAACACCCTTTGGATGGAAATTTGTGAAACAATGTGTTAGATCAGTGAGTGGGTATGAAAAAACAATGAGATGTTTTCTAACAAATTTCCCAGTCTTGGCAGGGCTGAGGCTGAAAGGCACAAAGATGGACAGGGATATGTATAATCTAAATTACTAAAAATTCCACCAGAGCCTCTGCATGTCTTTTCTTGGTTCCAGGAAGATGTAGGGTTCACAGTCAGCCCGGTACTTTGCCTGTACCAGAAGGCCCCCACATTTCATTAGCCCATTATCTAATTGCTTCCCAAAACACTTCAGGATGCACATGAAGGTGTCATGTTTGCTCAGGAGACAAGTCAAAGGAAAAAAACCCAACCCATAGCTAAGAAACACAGAGGGAATCCCCTGCACTGGTGTGACTGAATCACACAGCCCCTTTGACTGACTTCAGGAAAACAAAAGAAAAAATGAATTGCTCATTCAGACGTCAGAATTAATTTATCAAAGGGGCAGTCCACTTCCATGACACCTCTACAGTGGCAAGGCTGATTGCCTTTCAGGGCTGGTTGAGTCGCTGCTCTCCCCACAGTTGCACCACTGCCTTTGCTTTATCCTCTTTCTTTGTTTAATGTCTGACAGCTCTTCTGCCACTGCAGTCGGCAGCTCTTCAGGTAAGATGTGCTAATCTACATCTCTTCTCCCTCACTTTGCACCTTTCTTTCCAGATCTAGGAGCTAAAATTGCACTTAACTCCTTATTAATAAGTGAGCAATCTCACTTAATTTTATTCAAACCTTATGGAGAGCATGAGACTTAAAAGTTCATTTAAATTACTGATTTAATTACTCTGTTAAGCAGGATTACACATATTATCTTTATATTCTATATACATGATGGAAAACATATCCTCCTTCAGATATCCCTTCCTCAGTTCATTCCTCAATATGACAGCAAAGGTTTTCCTGCTTTGTCTTCCATCTCCTGGTTTTACTCTCACTGGAGTCCAACATTCACTCCTTCCTTCCAGACCCCTCTGCTTTCTCAGGGCACAGCTGGCGTGGGACAGATCCTCTTCTCTCCCACTGCTCTTCTGTCACCCCACAGCTGATGCACAGTGGCCTTTCACAGCACCAGGGAGTGGTGATCTCTGCACACCAGGTGATGCTCCACATGAAAAGCATCATGAAGTTCAGTTCACGTTGTTTCCATGTCTCTAGAATTCCTGGAAGGAATGTGTGAGGCACTTGCACTGGCTGCTCACCACCAGCTCTGCTCCACGGATCACTGATTAATGGGGCAGGTGAGGAGGAACGTCCTTGCTGTGTTTTATGAGTGTCCCTGTGCTACCAAGAAACAGAGAACCTCAATTTCTAGGGCTGCCAATCCAGCAGTTCTTTTTATATCCTCATGCTAATTTTCTAACATTTAATTCAAACTAAAAATCAAGGAAAAATAATATAAGCACAAACCAAAAAAAATGGCAGTAGCTGTCAGTGTATTTGCTTTTGAGGTCCAGTAAAATAATTGATCAAGTTACACAGCTGGATTATTGTGCAGCTGCAGGTGACTCATCCTTTTAGGAGAACTGAACAATCACTGAACACTATTTAAATAGAAGAAAAAGGGAGTGGGGCTATATGGATAGATGCTTTACGTGCAGCCTGTATATATGCATGTATTTCTGAATAGATTAGTATTTCTTTCAGATAAAATGATGAGGGATACTTGTGGAATCACCGAAAGTGCTCATTGTAAAAGAAAATCAAAGGGGCTGAAAAAGCTATTTGATCTGTAGTGCTCCCATCTAAGATCAGTTTTGCAGGGTATTTCAGTGCTGGAATTTGCAGGGCATTTCACTGATATAATTTGCAGGGTATTCCACTGATATAATTTGCAGGGTATTTCAGAGCTGGAATTTGCAGGGTATTTCACTGATATAATTTGCAGGGTATTTCAGAGCTGGAATTTGCAGGGTATTTCACTGACATAATTTGCAGGGTATTTCACTGATGTAATTTGCAGGGTATTTCACTGATATAATTTGCAGGGTATCTCACTGATATAATTTGCAGGGTTTTTCACTGCTGTCTGAGATGACTCGGTGAGGCAAAGGCAGAGCTCTTCTCAGTCACGGTGCTTCTGCAGTTCTCTGCTGCTGCAGCCCAGCCCACTGGCAAGGATGGCAGGTAAGGGCTGAGAAAACTCCACAATGTGTTTCAGAAATCCTCTGATTCCTTCTGGAGGGGGAGAGGAGTAAGCAAGCAGAGGAAGGGGAATCTTATTTAAAACCTACACAGAGAAATATAAGAGTCTGCCTACAAATGCCAGACTCAGGGAAAGAAGCCTCACATCAGCTGTAACTCTGGCAGCACCTTTGCTTGCCCTGGCCAGGGAAAAGGCTCCTTTCTACCATGGGTGTGGAATTGAAATAGACACTTCCATAAAGTGCTGTCTGCTCAAATGTCACGATGTTGGCTTTCTGCCCCATTTTCAGCTGCAGAGAACAGCAGATGGGAGGGGCAGAAACAACGAAGATCCCTTTTTAACTCTCAGTTTGAAAAATTTCCCAGTCCTTTTCAGCCAAGTAGGTCTTCTCCCACCTATCCTGAGCATGGCATCTTCTACATCCTGCTTTGGAAACTACACTTAATTTACTATATACCAAACCTAATCCTAACCCCCCCAGAATTTTACAGTGTGTGCAGTAGGGAGCAAACAAGGTCTAATGTGCTGCCCAGAGAACAGCAAGTGATCACTTTTTGGCATTTTTCAGTTACTTCCTCAACAAATGAAGAGTATAATGTACATTAAGGTTGTGTGCCAGGTATAAAGTGTAATGAGTGCAGGCAGACAAAAGAGAAAATTAGTAGTCATGAAAGGAGCTTAACAAAGCATTCAGTAAAAGACATGGGTAGTAAAAGTGTGGAATTAGGAAGAAAGTAGTATTGAAGAAGTGTTATTTTGTTCAGTCTGTTCAGAAATTGTTTAGCCTTTTGATGGAACAAGACAGGAAGCCAACTGAATAAGCATGATCAGGAATATTCATTACCTTTAGAAATTCTTACAAATATAATCTACTTTCTAATCACAAGAGAGCCAAACTGCTTTTCACATTTTTAATGAAAGATTCTTGCATTCCACTGCTACCCAGTCTTAGGAAATCACAGGTGTAATATTTTTCAGTATGTGTATCCACATAGTGCCACCCACAAGCACATTCTATCCGAAGCCCTGCAGCACATAACCTCAACACTGTCCCCTTGAGCACAGTTCATGGCAGCTTCCTGCAGGCTGCAGAGCACCAGGCTCCCAGGTGCCACACTGGCAAATGCTTCGGTGAAGATCAGTAAAATGAACCAAGAATTTCACTCTGTGAGTCGCAGTTGCACTACAGTAAAGTTCACAAGTTCACTTTTGGGATCTAAGCTAACCCTCGGGTACAGTGCAGCAAGAAATATTCACTCTAGCCAGGGGTTGCATTCAGAATAATTACAGATGTATTTCCTCTTCCCCTGGACTTTGAGGCTGAGCTCACACCAAGCTGTCAGCAGTGGTGCTCAAGCTTGTCATTTTGAAGTTTTGCCGTTTAATTTACAAAACCTTTGGTAGCCAAAGAGTTTCATGTTCATGAATCAGGAAATCAGATCAGAGAGGCTGGGATTCCAGGTCAGCAGGGAGACAGGGACCATTTTTAGGCATCTTTTCAGCACAGTGCTGCTGCTGGCTCTTTACCCCATCAGCATCCACAGTGCTGCTCTGACCCCAGCCTCTCCTGAGGGAAAAGGGATGCAGTTGTGAATTTATGATGCTGGAAATGGCACTGTGGAGGAACAAGGCAGAGGGATGACACTGTCTCTGGTGCTACCTGCAACACTTTTATAGGGCTGTAAGTAATATAAAGTTATGTATGTAACAACTGTGCCCTTAACAAACCGCTGTGCCCTGCTGGTGAACACTTTATCCAAATTAAACCGGGGAGGGAGGGAATAGAGAGAACATTAAAGTTTAAGGAGAGAGCAGTTCATACTCTCTGCAGTGCCAGTGCAGATCTGTACTGTAGCTGTGTCTCAGTTTTTTGGATTTGCTACTTGCATATCACACCTGTTAAATGGGCTGAAGTATCCAGAACATTTGGGATTTTTTGCAGGTTGAAGGCTAAGATGTCTGTGGTGGTTTGGGTGTGTGCATCAGTGATGGTGACTCAACATTTAGAACTAATTCAGAAAGGAGAATGAAGAACAGAGGCTTACTGGGTTTAACTGATAGACATTTTTAGGAGCACATGGAATAAAATACCTGGTTTTACATGTGTTTTCCTTCAGTAAATAGCATAAGTAGTTCCACAGTTCTTTTTTGTCAAAGATTTTGAACTGTTCTTAAACTATGAATCTCTTTCTCTGGGAAAGTAAGGCACAGAGTGATGTAAACAGCTTGCCAAGCAACCAGTGGCAGAGCCAAAATCAGAATTCAGATTGCTTGCCCACCTGTTTCCTTCTATCCTTGCTGCTGAGCAAGTTACCCAACACGTGAGGTTTCAGATGGAAGAACAAGCAAGCAAACAAAGGAGTGAAATTAAATATAAGCAGAGTGAAAATGACCAATGTGAGAAACTAAATAAGCAAACTGCAAAAAAGAAATAGTAAAAACATTATAAAATAAAATCAGACATTACAATAAAGAAATAATTTCCATTTTAACGCATGACAGCTCATAGTGTGCTAATGATTTTCCTCATACACAGAGGGCTTTGGTCCAAAACTCTGAATGAAACCATTCATGCTCTTGTGTGTATCTTTTTACCAGAAGATATCCGTGCTCCTAACCCAAGATGCTCCTGATTTCTGTTCTGTAGCCAGCCTGTTTTCACTGTGTGTCATCCCAGTGCTGGGGAAGGCATCCACAGGCTGGAGTTCCCCCTCTGAGCACAGGGAAGGATGCGAGGCAGGAGACAGCTGCGCCCCCAGAGCCTCTGCCCTGCCCTGTCCCAAACAGCATCTCTCACTCTGCCATGTGAGAGAGTCACTTGGGGACAAGGGCAGTGCTGGCTTTTGTGATGCTCCTCCTGCTGGAACTGGGCCGAGGCACAGCTCACATCATCCATCAGGCTGTGCTGACACGGGAACAGCTCCTGGTCACTCGTGGCCTGGGCTGGCTTGCACTGGGCAACAGGCCATGAACAAAAATCCTCTGTGAGCCATTCCCAGCTCCTCCGAGCCAGTCAAGCCCCTGTAACTCAGCAAAAGAAGAGGCACTTTTAAAAATGAGGCTTCTGACAAATGACAGGGAAGCAGTCGCCCCCGCACACACCTGATTCACTCTGAACTGGCATTCCTTCAAGAGCTGGGATGGGCCAGAGCTGCTGATTCAAAGACACTTGGAATAAGAACTCAAGATTGAAAGGGTTTTGTTCCTTCCTGGCTTGGTGCTTCTTTCCTTGGCCTGCTCTGCCTGCCCATGCTGAATGTCAATCAGCAGAGCAGCAGCACCTTTGCAAAGAAGCCCCAAGTATCTTGGCAAATACATAAACAAGCAAGTGGAAAAACCCCAAGGCTTCCACTAGTCCAAAGAAGAAAAGCCTGGAGTAGAGTGGTGGAGCTGAAAGCTGGACAGGGAAAAAAAGGGTTAGGAATTGATAAAGCTGTACATCCTTGTTTAATCTCTATCAGACACAGAGGTGTCTTTTCCAGAAAACATTTCTAAATGATGCTCATAGTGCATCCATAGCGGATTCTCAGAGACATTTCCATCAAATATCCCTGGAAAAATTCCCACAAAGAAACTGCCAGAATGAATTGCTAATTGCACGTGCAGAAAATCTTACGTCAAAGTGGCTGTGATCACCCAAAGTATTTCTCAAAAAAGGCAATTGCATTTTTATTCAGGTCTCTGCCACTTTATAATTGACAGCTATTTTATGTTCTTGGAATGAGGAACAGCTTAGTTTGTTACGAATTTCTTAAATCCTGCAGTTAGGACTAGCCTAAGTGAGCAAACAGAGAAAACTGATTTGAATTCAACAAATTCAAGTCTTCCTCTTTGATGGTCTGATGAAACTGGATCATCTTGATCTTTTGTTACTACTGAATAGCTGGGAATAAGTTTCTTTTGCAACCTGTCAGTTTGACAGCTCCATTTAGAACAGGAGCTGTTTTCCTGATGATTTCCATGTGAAGCTCTAAGTGACTGAGCATTTTATCACTTCATTTTAGGAAGCAAATGTTTTGTATTTACTATGTTTAACAGAATTTTCAAGGTCAATATAGCAGGATATTCCTTACAATTGTTTAAATTATTAAAACATTTTGAATCTTAGGAATAAATACAATGGTTTTAAGATGGCTGGTTAAATTCTGCAGCTCCATTGATTAGAATCCTAAATAATTCCATTCATTTAATGAAATTCATTGCAGTTTCAACACCTGTAACAGGGAAGAAACTTTGCCTAATTTTTTTGCAATGCTAAAACCGAAAGAACAAATGAGCACTCAGTAGTGCTAATATGGATCTAACATTGTCTCCATTGCGATGCAACAAAAAGATATTTAATCTTTTAAGGCTCAGTCATGTTCAACAGTGCCTATTACACAGGCAGGGTAGGCTTCTCAGAGCAAGTATCAGAAGAGGTTTGGTTGCTCTTTGGATATCTTCAAGTTTCCTGCAAGTTCCCACTGCGACAGGGAAAAGGAAAGTTGAGCAACAGACCTTGCTCTGATCAATGGTAGCCTCATTGATCCCTCAATTATTTCTGCTAAAAGAAAGACAAATAAATACAGCAAGAGGAATTGGAGAAGCCAGGCCATGCTGGCTTGTGTGTGCACTGCAGAAATGAGTAGCAGAGGCAGAAATGGGGTAATGCCCCTGCATGATTATCTTCAGACTACCCTGATTAGTGGCAAATAGCAGAGAGCTGGAGATCTATACAGATGTCATTAGGCCGAGGGCTGTAATGTGATTTAGTGAGGTGGCTGCAGTGGTAGCTGGTCCCTTGACACAGGAACAGATGGTGTTTTAGCAGTGTTGGTGCTAAAGAGCAAGAACGCAGCAGAAAAGTGTGTCTGTGTGGGGAGGGAAGCACGGGGTTGGGTTACTGGCATCACTGGGTGTCAAACTGGTGACTCAAGCTGGCTTGGGGAGAGTCGGGGCCCGAGACAAAACATCCTTCAAAACCCTGCACCAGTGCAATGGG